CCACCTTAAAGTAAATAAAATGTGTGTGGGAGATTGTTAGTGATAGAAAGTGAAATCTATGTATGTATGTTTTTATAGCATTTTTCTTTGTTGAATGTATGAATAACCAATACTTTCCTGATCTGATGATTTTAGGGATGCCAGTAAAACTGTGAGCAGCCCACCCACCTCCCCAAGACCTGGCAGTGCAGCAACAGCATCTGCATCTACAAGTAATATCATACCCCCAAGACACCAGAAACCTGCAGGGGCTCCAGCAACAAAAAAGAAACAGCAACAGAAAAAGAAGAAAGGTGGAAAAGGTGGCTGGTGATTAGAACATTCTTGTTGCAGGCTATTTTTACGCTAGTCTTAGTGACACTAGGAACATAAAATAAAGGTGACACAGCAAGAAGCACAGAGCTGCTCCCTCTCCCATGCCCCCATTTTCATAAAATTTTCTTGTGCATCAAAAAAGAAAACACCTTCCTCAAACTCAGCCTACTTGTACCACCTAGCTTTGCACAGATGATGAGGACTCAAAATAATTGGGCGTTTACCCTCAATATCTGTTTCTTTGTGTGCTGATCTGGTGGTGGTGTTTTTTTTTCAGTTTCACAAACAAGGCATGTTATCTAAGGTTTCCTAGGATATAAACAGAAGTTACTTCTGCTGTTTTAACTGGAGTCTGAAGATGCTTGTTCTTACAAGCCCCACTTTAAATTATGTCTTAGGAGGTCTTAGGAGACTGAAAGTGGAATCTTCTGAGCATTCCAAATAGCTACTTAGAAATATCATGTGATAAAAAGGGACCTTATTAATACACTGGTGTTCTTCACTTCGTTACATGAGTGGCCACAGGAAAACTAAATGTCTTGATTAGTTTTTACCATAAATTCTGTCATGTGATACTGGAATATGGGATTATATATATATATATACACACACACACACACACACACACACACACGTGTGTGTATATATGTATATGGTAGTGAAAAGTATGTTCGTATATGTATATACATATATACACCTATATATAAATTAGGATTCCTTTGTGCCCCCATATCATTTTCAGATTATGATAATGTTGTGCTGATTTAGCACTATAAAGAACTCAAGGGAAACAACAGTGTTGTAAGAAGTTGACCCTTAAACCCAGTGTTCTGAGGTCAAATGGGTTTGGACTGTCTCAGTCAGATTTAATGGCCCCTATCAAGAGCATGGACACTGACTTCCTATGTAGAGAGGAAATCAATACCAGAGTTCAGTAGCAGGCGGTATTAAAACTTAACAGTACTGTGTGGCCCCATTAATAAATACTCAGATGGCTCCTCTTCCTAGTTAGGGGTATGACTATTCATTACCCTTCCCAGAGTGGTGGAGTATTATACAATCAGTCTGCAGTGTCAGTGTTGCTCTGGTCTTTGCTTGCTTAAAAGCCACTTTCCCATTGAACAGCTGTGAGACAGACACACTGGGATTCACACCCTGGTTAGTATTCATTTTATGCTGCCCAAGATAACATTGAATTTAGACTTAAGAGTTCCTTCTTTGTGATCATATTACTCCATCCTATTAGTAAAGTGCTGCTGTGTTTGACTCTGAACATAGCTACTGAAACATCTCCAAAGAGTTTTTTTAAAAGGCTTTCCTCCTCTACAAGAGTAAGACACGGTGCTGCCTTTCTGTTTAACATAATCAGAATTTGCAGTGGCATCTGAATAAGAGACCTGCTTATATATGAATGATTTATTATGGCAAAATACTTTTTGAGCTCTCAGAGAATAGTCTTTTGGTAAGAGTGACAGATATTCATTCCTTCTAAGTATATACCCCATTACAAGAATAATTGTTAGTAAATTTGTTATTTAGGATTCCATTAAATTTCTGTGGTGAAGGATAATCATTTTTTAGGTTTAACTAAGCTACAGAATTTTGGTGAAAATTATCATTGAGAATTTTGATGCAAGACACAAACTGAAATTTATAGTTCTCTAGCTGGTCATTGCTATTACCAGTCATTACTAAGCAACTGAAACCTCAGTTCAAAGAGGTTATTGTCAAATGAAGTGTAAACATCTACATTAACTTTCTAGTAATTATTTTTTCTTTTGGACAGGTCTTTAACCAATGACATAATACACTTTGTATATATGTGTGTGTCTACATTTATAAAACATCAATATGGATACATCCATTCACTATGGCACATTTTAAAATAAAATATTCTGGCAGTGAGTATGGATTAAGGTGTTTTGGGTGTTGGCATTTTATGGAGGACTTCCTGGTTAGTACATCTGAGAATTTTTTAAACTGAGTATCTAAAATTCTCTCCGGCCCCTCCCAGCAAAGCCACCAAACTAATCTATTGGGGTTGAGAGACCCCAGTTTTAACTTCACTGAAAACTCGTGTTGATACATGTATATAAATAAATTGAAGAGCAACCATTTTAAGTTATTAAGCACAGCATTTTCTAGATTACTTGGGTACTGCTAACCTTAAACACTTGAATCACTCAAGCCTTCTGGATCCTGGCATTCATTCATTGTTCCTTACAAGCCTACCTGAAACACAGATCTGATGAAGAAAAGTCAGTTTATTGCATTAAGATAATTTTGTTAGTTTGTGAAATACACTAGGGTCAAATTTAACAAAATGAACCATCCATATACTTCTCAGTTTAAGAAACATTACACAACATTTGAAAAGCCCTGTGGCTTTCCTAATTTGTTGCATATTAGATCATTGGGGCAACAAATGATTTCTCTTTAGTTGTGGTTTTTAATACCCTGCATTACTAGTAGCTATGATCCTGGCAGACTAATTTAATCTAGAATTTTTTAAAGCTAAATACAAGAACTTAAAATAAGGGAGCCATTCACGTTGCTCTGTTGTTTTTCCCTAAGCATCTTGAACAGTCTCTAGACACTGCTAGTTAAGTTGGCACGGGCTGGAGGGCGGGAAGAGACCCAATTCACTTTCCTGGGATGCTATTACTAACTGGGGGGAGGACGGGCATCCTCTGGTGGTGCTCAGCACTCCTGCCCCTCAGGGTTCTCCTGGCGGGAGGCCCGTGAGCTGGGTGGGCTTGGGGATGACTTGGGAGAGATGAGCTTACACCTGGGCCGCGTGGAAGGGCTGGCAGAGACACCCTGCCTGCCTCGCGGGGGTCGCGCCACAGTCGGCCCTCAAGGAAGTGGACCCCGGGCACGCTCTCCCCGCGCCGCGAGCTGCGCGCCGGGCCTTCAGGATGCCTGGGTCTGGGCTCGGCCCTCCAGCTCCTCCGCCGGCGGGGTCAGTCCGCCTCCGCTCTCAGGTGCCAGGCTGGCGGATCTGCGGCACGATCTCGGGGCCACGGCGCTGGGTGGGTGGCC